ATATATATATATATATATATATATATATTATATTGTATATATGTATATATATATATATATATATATATATATTATATATATATATATATATATAATATATATATATGTATATATATATATTGTAGGTAGTAGGTTGGTAGACAGCAACTGATCTGGGAGGTACTACTGTCCTGCCAAGTGAGTGTAAAATGGAAACCTGTAATTGTTTTACAAGATGGTAGGATTGCTGGTGTCTTTTTTCTGTCTCATAAACATGCAAGATTTCAGGTACAACTTTTTACTTCTACTTACACTTAGGTCACACTACACATACATGTACAAGCATATATATACACACCCCTCTGGGTTTTCTTCTATTTTCTTTCTAATTCTTGTTCTTGTTTATTTTCTCTTATCTCCATGGGGAAGTGGAACAGAACTCTTCCTCCGTAAGCCATGTGTGTTTTAAGAGGCGACTAAAATGGCGGGAACAAGGGGCTAGTAAGCCCTTCTCCTGTATACATTACTATAGTTAAAAAGAGAAACTTTTGTTTTTCTTTTGGGGCCACCCTGCTTCAGTGGGATACGGCCGGTTTGTTGAAAGAATATATATATACAGTGGACCCCCGCTTAACGATCACCTCCAAATGCGACCAATTATGTAAGTGTATTTATGTAAGTGCGTTTGTACGTGTATGTTTGGGGGTCTGAAATGGACTAATCTACTTCACAATATTCCTTATGGGAACAAATTCGGTCAGTACTGGCACCTGAACATACTTCTGGAATGAAAAAAGTTCGTTAACCGGGGGTCCACTGTATATAATATATATATATATATATATATATATATATATATATATATATATATATATATATATATATATATATATATATATATACATGTATATATATATATATATATAATATATATATATATTATATATATATATATATATATATATATATATATATATATATATATATATATATATATATTAGTACAGAGGACCCCTGACATTCGATATTAATCCGTTCCTGAGAGCTCATCGAATGCCGAAAATATCGAAAGTCGAATTAATTTTCCCCATAAGAAATAATGGAAATCAAATTAATCCGTGCAAGACACCCAAAAGTATGAAAAAAAAAATTTTACCACATGAAATATTAAATTTAATGCAATAGAATAATTACAATAACAACAATAACAATAGGTTAATAACAATAGAATAATTGACACTTAACTTTAATGAAGATCTGGTGATGATTGATGGGATGGGAGGAGGGGAGTGTGTGGATAGTGTTATGTAATGTAGGTCCTGCTTGGCAATTTCTTCCAAAACATGCCTGTTTCGCCATAATTAAACACTTGTTCAGGTTTCAATCTTTCAGCCTCTATGTACTCCTTGAATTCATGCACATATTTTTCAGCTGCTTTGTGGTCCGAACTGGCAGCCTCACCATGCCTTACCACACTGTGTATGCCACTACGATTCTTAAATCTTTCAAACCAACCTTTGCTGGCCTTAAATTCACTCACATCACCACTAGTTGCAGGCAATTTCTTTACCAAATCATCATGCAACTGCCTAGCCTTTTCACAAATGATTGCTTGAGAGATGCTATCTCCTGCTAGTTGTTTTTCCTTTATCCACACCAATAACAGTCTCTCAACATCTTCTAACACTAGCGATCTCTGTTTCGAAAACAAAGTTGCACCTTTTCCAACAACAGCTTCCTTGATTGCCGTTTTCCTGCTCACTATAGTAGAGATGGTTGATTGGGGTTTACTATACAACCTGGCCAGCTCCGACACACGCACTCCACTTTCGTACTTTGCAATTATCTCTTTCTTCATTTCAATAGTCATTAGCACCTTTTTTCTCGAAGGGTTGGCACTAGAAGCTTTCTTGGGGCCCATGGTTACTTATTTTGCAGAAACAAGCACCAAAAACAAGTGATAATATGGATAATATGGAATGTACCGAATGTATCCTTAGATGTGCACACACTGGCTGGCTTGCAAACACTGGACACGTCTCGTACGAATCGCATCAAATAGCGGGTTTCCGGTCGAATGTCGAGGTGAAATTTTTGCATTAAAATGCATCGAATGTCGGATTTATCGAATGTCGATGCCATCGAAAGTCGGGGGTCCACTGTATATATATATATATATATTATATATATATATATATATATATATATATATATATATATATATATATATATATATATATATATATATATATATATATATGCAATAAGATCACAGTAAACAGGTGATTTCAGAATATGCAAAACAACCACTCTGAAAGAATAGAGAATTCCAAGCGCTTTCGTGACTACTCACATTATCAGTTCCTTGATAATGTGAGTAGTCACGAAAGCGCTTGGAATTTCTCTATTCTTTCAGAGGGTTGTTTTGCATATATATATATATATATATAATATTATATATATATATTTATATATTTTATATATATATAATATATATATATATAAATATAATTTTTAATATTATTTATACTACAAAAACATGTACATGGCATACAGGCCTAGCTGACATCAATGACATACTGCTAAAATAGAAAGCCCCTTGTTATGCTCAGCTTTCGGGCAAATTAGGTCAGTGCCCAGGATGCGACCCACAAACCCGTCACTAACTTTCAGGTAACTAACGCGCACGCGCTCTCTCTCTCTCTCTCTCACTCTCTCTCTCTCTCTCACTCTCACTCTCACTCTCACTCTCACTCTCACTCTCACTCACACAACACACACCCCACACACACACACAACACACACACACACACACACACACACACACGCACACACACACGAGACATAACAACATACAAAATACTGCGTGGAATAGACAAGGTGGACAGAGACAGGCTGTTCCAGAGAGGGGACACAGAAACAAGGGGCGATAACTGTAAGTTGAAGACCCAGATGAGTCAAAGGGATGTTACGAAGTATTTCTTCAGTCATAGTCAGAAGTGGAATAGCCTAGCAAGTGAGGTAGTGGAGGCAGGAACCATACATAGCTTTAAGATGAGGTATGATAAAGCTCATGGAGCAGGGAGAGAGAGGACCTAGTAGCACTCAGTGAAGAGGCAGAGCCAAGAGCTGAGTCTCGACCCCTGCAACCACAATTAGGTGAGTACACACACATAAATTGGTAAAACACACACACACACACACACACACAATGAAAAAATAATAATAAAAATTTGTGATCTCAAATAAGCAATAGAACCACAATGATAGAACACAAAATTTCTTTAACTGTGGTGTAGTATCAGTTGTTGGTATTAACAGATATTACAAGTACTGTACTTACTAGCTCTAAATCATAAAGTACTTAGGGAAATAAATTAAAAAAATGTATATACTATTTTCCAGTCAGGTTCAGTTCCTCACACACATCAGAGAACCTGATCCACCAGGAGGCCTGGTCACAGACTGGGCTGCGGGGGCGTTGACCCCCGGAACTCTCTCCAGGTAAACTTTTTAGCAGCCTAAAAACACAGCTGAGGATTTGTAGAATTTTCTTTAGGCTTTATTTAAAGAAAATCTATTGTTTTGTATTATTCACTGAAGTAATTTTTAAATACTGATATATCTAGCATATTAAAGTAAATAAACAGATAAATATAATTAAATATTTTTATTATATTCTGGCGAAATCTTCTCTTGAAAGTGTTAAGACTTTGAAGTACTGCTGAGCCAAGTGTTCATGTGATACTGTTTTATAATGGTATTGGAACTGTAATGGTATTTAGATGGTGTTTAACTTGTGCAGATTATATTATTATAAGCCTGGGGAGTGCTAAACCTGTAGGGATTATACAGCACCTGGGGTGGAGGGAATGGAAGGTATTCAGACTCAGTTCAGGGAACTGAAGCACAGATTCAATTCCCTAGATCAAGAGCCCCTCACCAGCATCAAGGAACCTCCCTTGAGGGAAACTTGTGTAGAGATGATGTTGAAGTGTTGGTGTCAAACTAGTTATGAACGACTTAAAATGGTGTGTAACATGGGACATGATAAAGATTAGGGTAGTCCAACTACTATCCTGTAGCATGACCCACAGGTCCATTTTTTTTTTTGATCCACAAATATTTTTTGTAAAAAAAAAAGTCAGTTCTATAAATGAGATAATTTGGAAGGACTACAGTATGCATGATAGGCTCTTGAATTCCAGTGTCATGGATAAAAAATAACATCAGAATGATCTTTATTAGTGGAATCACACTTTGTCCTTGAAAAAAACAAATGGATACATTCAGTACATGGGAGGTGTGGCAACTTGGTACGAAATAAGACACGTGTAGTACAAGGAGGTTTATTAGAGAGAGATTTTGCTAAACATTATTATTACATTCATGGGGGCTGAGAACCACAAAACCCTTAATAAGTAAGACACATGTACAACACCTAGGTAACTTTATTCCCAGACATTTTGCCTACACAGTAGGCTTCTTCAGTTGAGTACAGAGGAGGCAGTAGAGAAGCAGTAAAGATGTAAAGATGATGTAATTAGTCCATCACCCTTGAAGATGTAGTTTTGAAGTGGTCAGTCCCTCAGCCTGAGGGACTGACTTGTTAGGTATCCCCCAAAGGAGGACATTTAAGGTGTGCCTCCTGGGCATCTTAAAGGTGTTCCTTTAGCTTCTAAATCTCTTGGAAAGATTTAGCTATAGCTCATGGGTTTCTTTAACCCTTTCACTGTCAAGACCCCTGATCAGGAACTTGCCCTCAATGATGAAAAATGTAAAAAAAAAAAAAAAAATAAATTCTTACCAAAATCTTAAGAATATTTTTCTGAATGTTTTAAAAGAAAAGAAAAATCTGCAATCAGTATTTACCGAAATATAAAGGAGTAGAGTTGACAGAAAGTGAACTGTCAATTCTATTTTTTTCTTTTTTAATATTTTATTTTTGCAAATAATTTATGTGGCCTGTGAGACCAATATACAGTGGACCCCCGGTTAACGATATTTTTTCACTCCAGAAGTATGTTCAGGTGCCAGTACTGACCAAATTTGTTCCCATAAGGAATATTGTGAAGTAGATTAGTCCATTTCAGACCCCCAAACATACACGTACAAACGCACTTACATAAATACACTTACATAATTGGTCGCATTCGGAGGTGATCGTTATGCGGGGGTCCACTGTAATGCATTATGTATACACATCCACTCATTGAAACCGATTGGCACCCTGGTGCCAATCCCAGATGCGGTCTGCTGGTGGGTACTGGATATTAACAGGTGGTTGTAGTTGTGCAGGTTGTTGTGATGTGTGGGTGGTCAAAGGTGGCCTTTGTTGTGGATGTGCTGAGTCAGCAGCATGGCTACCAGTCTAGGGTGCTGCTGGTGCCACATGACACATTACACCACCACCTGCTGCCACGTGTATATTATCCATCCCAACTGTAACGTTACTCGTTACCCATACTGTCTTCCCCACCACCCCCACTGTCTTCCCCACCACCCACTATCTGTATCTGGTATCCTGGGCATTGCTTTCAGACACAAACTCATCAAAACCATGAAATTCATCTTCACTGACACTTCCATCTGTGTTAGAACTATCACTTGGGAAGAGAAGAGTTCCAATTCACAGGGGAGTTAGGTATTCCTTATTGCTAGGCATGGTGAACAAGGTATACCCAATTGGCACTCCCACAATGCATTGTGGCCTCCCAGATTTTTTTTATGCGCACACTGAAGCTTGGGATGTTACTGCTGCAGCGAGGAGGCGGTGGAGATGTCCTGTCTAAGGGCAGTGTGAGGTGTAAATATTATGCAGAGAATTCGGTGTTTGGAAATTAGGAGAAGGTGTGGAGTTAATAAAAGTATTAGTCAGAGGGCTGAAGAGGGGTTGTTGAGGTGATTTGGTCATTTAGAGAGAATGGATCAAAGTAGAATGACATGGAGAGCGTATATATCTGTAGGGGAAGGAAGGCAAGGTAGGGGTCGTCCTCGAAAAGGTTGGAAGGAGGGGGTAAAGGAGGTTTTGTGGGCGAGGGGCTTGGACTTCCAGTAAGCTTGTGTGAGCATGTTAGATAGGAGTGAATGGAGACGAATGGTATTTGGGACCTGACAAGCTGTTGAAGTGTAAGCAGGGTAATATTTAGTGAAGGGATTCAGGGAAATCAGTTATTTTTATATAGCCAGACTTGAATACTGGAAATGGGAAGTACAATGCCTGCACTTTAAAGGAGGGGTTTGGGATATTGGCAGGTTGGGGGGATATGTTGTATATCTTTATACATATATGCTTCTAAACTATTGTGTTTTGGGCACCTCTGCAAAAACAGTAATTATGTAAGAGTGAGGTGAAAGTGTTGAATGATGATGAAAGTATTTTCTTTTTGGGTCACCCTGCCTTGGTGTGAGATGGCCAACTTGTTAAAAAAAAAAAAAAAAACCTGAGCACACAGACCCATTTTCTAACATGTAGGTCTACCAGTTTTCTCTCGCTAGATTTGAAGCCGCTAGAATTTTGGCATAATATTACGACACCAACACTGGTTTGCAAGCCATAATATAACGTCACCAACAGTGAAAGGGTTAAGGAGTTGAGCTTCAGCTCCTCTATATCTTAAGGGTTTTGAGGTAGAGATACTAGAAATTTTCCAGGTGAACAGATAGCTAGGGTTATGTGCAGCAACAATAACACATCTAGTATTAAGGAATGTTTTTAAATTATTGTTGGTCATCCACAACAGGAATGCATCCATGATGTTAAATAAACATTACAGACACATTTAGTAATGTGAGAATTTTTGACAAATTTTAACTAAGCCTCATAACAAAAATAAAACCCTTTTTCTTCAACAAAAACTTTATTAGTTGAAGTAATTTAAATACTGTATATGCAATTTTATTAAGAATAATATATGCTATAAATGTAATTACAATACAATTAAATGCTTAATTTTTTAACACTGGCTGGCTACCACTAAGGTAGGATGACCCAAGAAAAGAGGAAACATATTTACTGTCATGCATTCAATTGCTGTCTTGCCAGAAGCATGCTGACATTACAGTTCAGATGGCCCTCTGAACTGCAACATCCTCACCAATACTTTAAAGTGTAGACACTGTACTTAAATATACAGTAATTAAAATCCATCAACTTCACCAGCTTTTCTAAAATCAGAGTTAGCATAGATTTTTTCATTGTTTTCATGAGAAATGGCACAGACCACAGAGCCTCCAACACCAAACATCTCTGTCTCATGACCAATTTTCTGCATGCCATCAACAATATCCTGGGGAAAAAAAAAATCTTTAATGCATGATAATACATGAGGTTTTTAATTAATTTAATTAGAATCAACTATTCATGGTCTGGATGGTAAATTTAGCAATATTTTTGTACAAATTATACATTTCGGTCAGATATGCCAGATGTCTATAGCACTGCCTGTCCTCAATTGGTAGCACTCTTCTCAATCTATATCACAGAATGTTTTTTGTAGTCTCCCTCATGGTTTTACTCAATATCATACAGACTGCTATTGTTTTCTTAATCTGTTATTTTATTTTCCTTGCTTCTACTGTCTTCTGAAATGCACTCGTGTATGTATCTGATGAGGCTTGTGTATACCTGGTGAGACTCCTTATACAAATACAGTACACATCAATGCTCCTCTTTACCATATCTCTGTTGAGCCTTTTTTGATGAAACTTCCCTTTAGTATATGAGATAAATAAATGAGTCAAGAATTAAGATAAAAGAAGTGACAGGGATAAATCTTTTAAGTTTCTTTACAATGTGTGTAGTTTATGTACTTACCAGTTTACTGTTTGTAATGAAATCCTCAAAAAATATCTGGAGAAAATAGCTTGGTTCTGTCTGTTCCTTCAAAACCCAGCACAAATATCTCCTCTGGTCCTACTACTTTGTTCTTGTCAATATTATGTTTATGGGAGAGTGCTAAACCCCTAAGGGTCAAGTACTGTTTGTTTCTGTGAATGTCCAAGAGTAGTTTTTCCTTCTTTAATAACTTCAACAATCTCCATCTCATTTAATGTAAAGGAAGGGATTCAGATCCCTCATCATATAAAGTTTATAAATTTTATATACCTTCTAGAATGTTAGATTTAATATATCACTAATTCTTCATTATTTGTAATTTGCTTTTCACACTGAATTCACCTTTAAAAGCTTCAATAGAAAATTTACTTTTGATTTCCTGTTATCAACTATTCTCCTCTGTTACATTTGTCTTCTATCCTTATACTGGTATATTAATTTCAGGTAAATTTACTTTACCTAGGTAGTAGGTTGATAGACAGCAACCACCCAGGAAAGTACTACCGTCCTACCAAGTGAGTGTAAAACGGAAGCCTGTAATTTTTTACATGATGGTAGAATTGTTGGTGTCCTTTTTTTCTGTCTCATAAACATGCAAGATTTCAGGCATTCTTGCTACTTCTACTTACACTTAGGTCACACTACACTTGCATGTACAAGCATATATATATATATATATATATATATATATATACACACCCCTCTGGGTTTTCTTTTATTTTCTTACTAGTTCTGGTTCTTTTTTATTTTCTCTAATCTCCAAGGGGAAGTGGAAGAGAATTCTTCCTCCGTAAGCCATGTGTGTCGTAAGAGGCGACTAAAATGCCAGGATCAAGGAGCTAGTAACCCTTCTCCTGCATATATTACTAAATTTAAAAGGAGAAACTTTTGTTTTTCCTTTTGGGCCACCCTGCCTTGGTGGGATATGGCCATTTGTTGAAAGAAGAAGATAAATATATATATATTATAATATATATATATATATATATATATATATATATATTTTTTTTTTTTTTTTCAACAAGTCGGCCGTCTCCCACCGAGGCAGGGTGACCCAAAAAAAGAAAGAAAATCCCCAAAAAGAAAATACTTTCATCATCATTCAACACTTTCACCACACTTGCACATTATCACTGTTTTTGCAGAGGTGCTCAGAATACAACAGTCTAGAAGCATACACACAAAGATACACAACATATCCCTCCAAACTGCCAATATCCCAAACCCCTCCTTTAAAGTGCAGGCATTGTACTTCCCATTTCCAGGACTCAAGTCCGACTATATGAAAATAACCGGTTTCCCTGAATCCCTTCACTAAATATTACCCTGCTCACACTCCAACAGATCGTCAGGTCCCAAGTACCATTCGTCTCCATTCACTCCTATCTAACACGCTCACGCACGCTTGCTGGAAGTCCAAGCCCCTTACCCACAAAACCTCCTTTACCCCCTCTCTCCAACCCTTTCGAGGACGACCCCTACCCCGCCTTCCTTCCCCTATAGATTTATATGCTTTCCATGTCATTCTACTTTGATCCATTCTCTCTAAATGACACACACACCCCTCTGCATTTTCTTGTGTTTTCTTATTAGTTCTTGTTCTTGTTTTTTCCCTCTTATCTCCATAGGTAATTGGAAGAGAATTCTTCCTCCGTAAGCCATGCATGTTGCAAGTGGCAACTAAAATGCTGGGAGCAAGGGGCTAGTAACCCCTTCTCCTGTATACATTACTAAAGTTAAAAAATAAAAAAAGATTTTTTTCTTTTTGGGGCACCCTTCCACGGTGGGATACAGCCGGTTTGTTGAAAGAAGAAAAAGATATTTAATTTAATCTCTAGTACATTTTTTTTTAGGCTGGAGTGATACTGGTGTGTTCAAAGTTTTTTCTTTCATATTCTATCATTGCCACTGAAGCATTCTGTATTGTTGGGTTTGTTTCTCATTTTTTATATAAACAGCTGACTACAACTTTCATTTATGCTACAGAGCCCACTGTATACTGCATTTTCTGTATATCAATCTTTGCCATATTTTATGGTATTCCATCTAAAATATTGTTTTAAATCAGATTGCATTTCTTTTCTTGCAATTCAAATGTTATTTCTTTCCTTGTCCAAATCATACCTTCCAAAATACATTATCTCTAATGAAACATTATAGCTTTTCATAAATGGATATAAATTATATATGCTGAAAATTTGTTCTTCTATAGTAAATATTTGGCTATCCAATCCATTGCCCTGTAATTAATAATTCCCACAACTCACTGGTAATGTTCCTTCCTCGTAGCTAAATTTCATTGGAAATAGTTGGTGGTGAATTCTGCGTGCATCCACAGCTTTCTTGATATCCTCATTCAACCACAAATTACGAAGTAACACCCATGCCACAGCTGAGGGTATCTTGGTTCCTCCGGCAGCACCAGCAACTAAGCGAACATTTCCATCAGCATCCACTAACACTGATGGGCACATAGATGAGAGAGGCCGCTTCCCTGAGAAAAATAAATAGTTTTATTATCAATACTGGCTTCCAAATCATTACCACAACTATAATTTCTATATATACCATACAGTATATTGCATTAACTCATTCTGAATTAATTTACATCATTTAGACAATTTAAATAAATTATTTTGCTTAATCTGCTCTTAAATGGGCTTGAACACAGAAAAACTCATGGATAACATTTTCATCTACATACTGTTTAATCAGGAACTTCTTAATATCAGTGACTTAGCCGCATTTGAATCATATTATGAGCCATTAATTTTACCACACTTGAAATATTCATATCCCATATCATTATTTTCCCATTTCAAAATAAGAGTTACAGTAGTTAAATATAGGGAAGGAATTTACAGAGTAGAAGAATTAGTGCAGTGTAAATTTATTATAATTAAAAAATCCTTGAAAAGTACAGTAGAGCCTGTTATACTATGTTCTAGTGGGAGAAATGGTATGGTGATGCTGACAACATGTGGAAAAACACACTTACGTATATGTCAGGACATTTATTAGAGAAAGAATTTTGCCACAAATGGCTTCTTCAGTCCTAATACAGAGATAACTAAAAAATAAGTATGCATAGTGGCATGAGTCAGGTGGAAAACTGTGAGGGGTAGTAGTAATAGCACAACTGTGGTGACATAGGTTGGGTTTGAGAAGGACCTGTAAAAATCATGATAAGAAGAAGTGTACACTATATCCAAATTGCTAAGCAATAGGATATTACCCATTCTGGAGACTGCTGTAATATGATATTGACAGGTCCTTCTCAAACCCAACCCATCTCATTGTAATTGTACTACTACTACTACTACTACTACCCTCACAGTTTTCCACCTGACTCCTGCCACTACACATATTTTTATTTTTTTATTTTTTTTAACAAGTTGGCCGTCTCCCACCGAGGCAGGGTGACCCAAAAAGAAAGTGCTTTCATCATCATTCAACACTTTCACCTCACTCACACATAATCACTGTTTTTGCAGAGGTGCTCAGAACACAGCAATTTAGAAGCATATATGAATAAAGATACACAACATATCCCTCCAAACTGCAAATATCCCAAACCCCTCCTTTAGAGTGCAGGCACTGTACTTCCCATTTCCAGGACTCAAGTCTGGCTATATAAAAATAACCAGTTTCCCTGAATCCCTTCACTAAATATTACCCTGCTCACACTCCAACAGCTTGTCAGGTCCCAAATACCAATCGTCTCCATTCACTCCTATCGAACACGCTCACGCACGCCTGCTGGAAGTCCAAGCCCCTCGCCCACAAAACCTCCTTAACCCCTCCCTTCCAACCTTTTCGAGGACAACCCACACCCTGCCTTCCTTCCCCTACAGATTTATACGCTCTCCATGTCATTCTACTTTGATCCATTCTCTCTAAATGACCAAACCACCTCAACCACCCCTCTTCAGCCTTCTGACCAACACTTTTATTAACTCCACACCTTCTCCTAATTTCCACACTCCGAATTTTCTGCATAATATTTACACCACACATTGCCCTTAGACAGAACATCTCCACTGCCTCCAACCACCTCCTTGCAGCTGCAGTTACAACCCAAGCTTCACACCCATATAAGAGTGTTGGTACTACTATACTTTCATGCATTCCCTTCTTTGCCTCCATAGATAACGTTTTTTGTCTCCGTATATACCTCAACGCACCACTTGCCTTTTTTCCCTCATCAATTCTATGAGTAACCTCATCCTTCATAAATCCATCCACCGACACGTCAACTCCCAAATATCTGAAAACATTCACTTCTTCCATACTCCTCCTCCCCAATTTGATATCCAATTTTTCTTTATCTAAATCATAAGATAGCCTCATCACCTTACTCTTTTCTATGTTCACTTTCAACTTTCTACCTTTACAAACACTCCCAAAGTTGTCCACTAATCTTTGCAATTTTTCTTTAGAATCTCCCATAAGCACAGTATCATCAGCAAAAAGCAACTGTGTCAATTCCCATTTTGTATTTGATTCCCCATAATTTAATCCCACCCCTCTCCAGAACACCCTAGCATTTACTTCTTTTACAACCCCATCTATAAATATATTAAACAACCATGGTGACATTACACATCCCTGTCTAAGACCTACTTTTACTGGGAAGTAGTCTCCCTCTCTACATACCCTAACCTGAGCCTCACTATCCTCATAAAAACTCTTTACAGCATTTAATAACTTACCACCTATTCTATATACTTGCAACATCTGTCACATTGCTCCCCTATCCACTCTATCATGTGCCTTTTCTAAATCCATAAATGCAATAAAAATTTCCCTACCTTTATCTAAATACTGTTCACATATATGCTTCAATGTAAACACTTGATCTACACATCCCCTACCCACTCTAAAACCTCCTTGTTCATCCACAATCCTACATTCTGTCTTACCTCTAATTCTTTCAATAATAACCCTACTGTACACTTTTCCTGGTATACTCAGTAAACTTATTCCTCTATAATTTTTAAAATCTCTTTTGTCCCCCTTCCCTTTATATAAAGGGACTATACATGCTCTCTGCCAATTCCTAGGTACCTTCCCCTCTTTCATACATTTATTAAACAAAAACACCAACCACTCCAACACTCTATTAACCCCTGCTTTTAACATTTTTGTAATGATCCCATCAGTTCCAGCTGCTTTACTCCCTTTCATTCTACATAATGCCTCACGCACCTCCCCCATATTCACATCCTGTTCTTCTTCACTCCTAAAAGATGGTATACCTCCCTGGCCAGTGCATGAAATTACCACCTCCCTTTCTTCGTTGATATTTAAAAGTTCCTCAAAATATTCTTGCCATCTACCCAATACCTCCTTCTCCCCATCTAAACTCCCCTACTCTGTTTTTAACTGACAAATCCATTCGTTCCCTAGGCTTTCTTAACTTGTTTAACTCAGTCAAAATTTTTTTCTTATTTTCATTAAAATTTCTTGACAGTGCCTCTCCCACTCTATCATCTGCTCTCCTTTTGCACTCTCTCACCACTCTCTTCACCTTTCTTTTACTCTCCATATACTCTACTCTTCTTATAGCACTTCTGCTGTGTAAAAACCTCTCATAAGTTTTTCTCTTTTATCACACCCTTTATTTCATCATTCCACCAATCACTCCTCTTTCCTCCTGCACCCACCCTCCTATAACCACAAACTTCTGCCCCACATTCTAATACTGCATTTTTTAAACTATTCCAACCCTCTTCAACCCCCCCCCTCCCCCACTACTCATACTTGCACCAGCCCACCTTTCTGCCAATAGTTGCTTATATTTCACCCGAACTTCCTCCTCCCTTAGTTTACACACTTTCACCTCCCTCTTACTTATTGTTGCCATTTTCCTCTTTTCCCATCTACCTCTTACTCTAACTGTAGCTACAACTAAATAATGATCCAATATATCAGTTGCTCATCTATAAACGTGTACATCCTGAAGCCTACCCATCAACCTTTTATTTTTTTATTAACATACTGGCCGATTCCCACCAAGGCAGGGTGGCCCAAAAAAGAAAAACTTTCACCATCATTCACTCCATCACTGTCTTGCCAGAAGGGTGCTTTACACTACAGTTTTTAAACCAACATTAACACCCCTTCTTCAGAGTGCAGGCACTGTACTTCCCATCTCCAGGACTCAAGTCTGGCCTGCCGGTTTCCCTGAATCCCTTCATAAATGTTACTTTGCTCACACTCCAACAGCACATCAAGTATTAAAAACCATTTGTCACCATTCACTCCTATCAAACATGCTCACACATGCCTGCCCCTCGCACACAAAACCTCCTTTACCCACTCCCTCCAACCTTTCCTAGGCCGACCCCTACCCCGCCTTCCTTCCACTACAAACTGATACACTCTTGAAGTCATTCTGTTTCGCTCCATTCTCTCTACATGTCCGAACCACCTCAACAACCCTTTCTCAGCCCTCTGGACAACAGTTTTGGTAATCCCGCACCTCCTCCTAACTTCCAAACTACGAATTCTCTGCATTATATTCACACCACACATTGCCCTCAGACATGACATCTCCACTGCCTCCAGCCTTCTCCTCGCTGCAACATTCATCACCCATGCTTCACACCCATGTAAGAGCGTTGGTAAAACTATACTCTTATACATTCCCCTCTTTGCCTCCAAGGACAAAGTTCTTTGTCTTCACAGACTCCTAAGTGCACCACTCACCCTTTTCCCCTCATCAATTCTGTGATTCACCTCATCTTTCATAGACCCATCCGCTGACACGTCCACTCCCAAATATCTGACTACATTCACCTCCTCCATACTCTCCCTCCAATCTGATATCCAATCTTTCATCACCTAATCTTTTTGTTATCCTCATAACCTTACTCTTTCCTGTATTCACTTTTAATTTTCTTCTTTTGCATACCCTACCAAATTCATCCACCAACCTCTGCAACTTCTCTAAAGAATCTCCCAAGAGCACAGTGTCATCAGCAAAGAGCAACTGTGACAACTCCCATTTATGTGTGATTCTTTATCTTTTAATTCCACGCCTCTTGCCAAGACCCTCGCATTTACTTCTCTTACAACCCCATCTATAAATATATTAAACAACCACGGTGACATCACACATCCTTGTCTAAGGCCTACTTTTACTGGGAAATAATCTCCCTCTTTCCTACATACTCTAACTTGAGCCTCACTATCCTCGTAAAAACTCTTCACTGCTTTCAGTAACCTACCTCCTACACCATACACCTGCAACATCTGCCACATTGCCCCCCTATACACCCTGTCATACGCCTTTTCCAAATCCATAAATGCCACAAAAACCTCTTTAGCCTTATCTAAATACTGTTCACTTATATGTTTCACTGTAAACACCTGGTCCACACACCCCCTACCTTTCCTAAAGCCTCCTTGTTCATCTGCTATCCTATTCTCCGTCTTACTCTCAATTCTTTCAATAATAACTCTACCATACACTTTACCAGTTATACGCAA